GAAAGTACTTAGGTACTTTTTTCATATATTTTTCGTTTAGTAAACTGGTAGTATATTTGACATTTCATTTCAATTTAATACTCAATATACTTAAATCAATAATGTGTTATTGTGAACTTATGAGTGCGTGTAATTGGGGGAAACTGTTGGTATCTCAAATAAATAAATAAACTTTTTTTTTTTCATTTTCAGCAATCAGGTACTACACTGGAACGATATATTCTGCTTATACATGTGTAAATAGATTTGAAACCATTCCCACTGTTTGCTAGTTTGCTCATAAAATATAATATTGCCAATTTCTGCAATTGCAAGAAAACTAAGGTATACTGGTTAAAGGCTGTTGGTACAAATATATCACCTCGATATTTTTATATTACAAGAACTAAATGCAAAATTAATTATATGACCATATAATATATCCTAAAACTGGAAACACAAACAGTCGGTGATTGATCAGTGGCATGGCCTGGCTGGCTTCCCTAAATCCATTCCTGCAAAATGTTTAAAACGATGTTTTCAATAGTCAATAGTCATAAACGGCAACAGCGAGATTGACTGTCAGTTAATCCAGGGGACAAATATTGGCATGGCAGATGCTGTATCGTATACATTACCGTACTACAGTGAAGTGCCTGAGAAATTGCTATCATCACCTTTACAGATTTGTGACCGCTAACCATTGAAGAATGAGAAATATGCGTCACATAGAAAAATAAGAAAAACGAGCAGAAAGCCACGCCCCCAAATATGGATATATTCGTTTCTATTTCGGCTCTTCGAAGGTTGCCGAGTCAATGTTTACATCTGAAGACTAACCGGCTGTTGCGGTAACCCGACTTTCGCCATTTATACATTCAAATAATATTTTATTTTATTGAAAAAAATACCAAAAAACAAATAACAGACTTTATGGTAGTCTACCACTCCGGCCAGTCATTGATATTGCAAAATCAACAATAAAAGTAAAGAAAACATATTACAAATAATATAATTAAATTGAAATGAAATGAAAGTAAGTATTTTAATTTTGTCAATCGCCAATGTAGTTTTTTTTCAAGAAAGCAATAAAGTAGTATATATCACGTCTTTCATTGTAGCTGGTCAATGTACACTTGAAGATATCAGAAATATACAACCTCATCAGGTTATTGAGTCAAGCAGGCTCGAATCTATCTATATAGTTCAATCGAACCAATATGAATGTTACATCTTCAAAACTGTCATCATTTGAGAACTTTCCAGAAATCGGCAGAGAAGAAATGTCGAAATATCGATGTCTGTGTAGCTCTGTATGTACGCCTTGGATGTTAGGTTCCGCGTTCCTGGTGTGACGTCACGATTTACTCATGTATATGCGAAGCACAATGGCCTCAGATTTGTCAAGCACAAAACCGACTATATAAAATGAGGCTCAAAATAGAGGGATTTGAATGTTGGCTAAACTGGACCCATGTGAGACCCCGGGAGAGGGGCTGCATCGGAGAGCCAAGCAGGAATACGTGTGCCTAATCCAGTCAACACCACCATTTACTAACTCAAACTACCATGCACATTGAACGTATTGAACAGCTGAGGTATCCCAATATACCCCGTGTTGCTTCAATAATGTACTATTATTATTGTTTTGTTTTTGTCAATGTGAAATTCAACTAAAAAAACACTATAGCCAATATTAGAGAATATTCTCCCCTCTCTTGCTTACTAAAGAAGTCTTATCCTAATCTAGTACTACTATTGCCCAAAAAGTCTCTCTTACTATGGGTTTCTCGTCAAAAGGTTTGGCAAACTTCTTTGGCCACATGTTTGTTCATAGCAATTAGCTGTGCCAGCATTGTCCCTCCTTTGCAGTATATTGTATTCTGATTGGATAACAAAGTTATAAGATTTTTGAAGAAGTGAACCACTGGGTATAAGTGAGAGTCAGTGCCGATTATAGCACGCACGTCAAATTGGTAACAAGGCAATACAAGACCTGCTTTGATGGGACTGACCGACCACTTGAAGCCACGGACGACCGAGGTATCGTAGTTAGTAAAACGCTAGGCTGCTGGTAGCCGCTGGTTTGGATAGGTGGGAGTCATCCAGGCATTGTCGCTTGGAGGGAGACTCCCTGGAAATGGAGTTTATGTCTCAAAGTGGAAAGAGTCCATTGTACTCCATAGCGTGGTTATGTTGCAGTGCATCGGTATCCCAGACTTACTCTGACCAAAATTCACAGACACCAAAAATCAAATCATTATTACAAACAGCCAATACACGAGTGAACTTCGTAATCTTACACTCCGTAAGTTACAGCGACTTCAATGGTATTGCATAGGATGATGGGTGTCATACTCCCTAGCTGTGTTGATTCATGTGAAGGAGATGTTATTCTCTTCAATGTTTCTGTTCTCCATGTGCAAAGATGATCAAAATGATTCAAAAACATTTAATTGAAACACAATCTGGCTTTCTTAATTTAACTCTGAATTAGATACGTTCGGAATTAATAAGTTGCCTGCGCATTGCAATAGGAGCCTCAGTGGGTTCCCAATGTCCCCTGCAGCTATATTCCAAGATTATTATAGGGTCTTTGCAATTTTTTTCAAAATGTCCACGTCATTTTTCGTTGTTTTTTATTATAATTTCCCAAATATCCACAAACAGGTTGTACAGTGACATAAGTATGGCAACGCACATACCATAATTTTTGACAATAATCACTAAATTCAACTGAGACTGCTTAACAGCAATTCAAACATTTTGAAGTAATGTATAAATACAACTATCATCACTTTAAAATTTGCTTTGAAGTAAATGTGGTAGAAAGAAGCAGTGCCAGGAAGGTCAAGTCAGGTCAGAGCATAGACACAACACAGTCACCAGAGACACATTTTCATATACAGCTGTTAAGTTATTTACCCAATACGAATCAAGACAGGAATACAGTTGGAATGTTTAGCAAGTACAATTAACCTGCGCTACGAGTGCAGACACAGGCAGACTGAGAGGGATAATCTCTAATGGCCGCCATGTTTTTTTACTGTTTTTATCAGTACATGTACCAAGCAGTAAACCAAATAATTGGTGAGGGTGTTAGTTAAAATTTACATAATCTAAACTTCGATATATGATTTATTAGTAAAAATTTTAGTTAAATAATTTTTAGTTTTTATTCGGAAAAAAATGTATTAAATTGGAATGAATTATACTGAAAGCATCAAGAGCTCCACGTGGAGAGAACTTTAGATATTTACATAATAACAGCCCGGGGCAGTTTATACATGGGTGGGTAGGGAGGTGCCCCTGAGTGCTCAAACCTGGATAGTGGCAAAATCTATAGCCATATTTATACCAAAGTACCATTTCTGTCTTCACTGTTTATTCCAAATAAATCAGTTACGATATTTGCTCTATTAGAAGAGCATCTCCAATAGAAGCACATGTAAACAAAAAGTTGCATTGTATATTGATTTATTAAAATATGTATTTTGACCATAGAAACACCTCTGTAACTTACATAAGACCATATCATTAACACAATGTTCAGGTTATTTATACCAAATCGGAAAAATATTACCGATATTTATACCTATCTTGACCAGAAATAAGACCGATACTTATACCTAAAATCCGAAAAACGAGACCCATTTCAGGGGCACGTCCCCATTAGGCAAGTTTTATGTATTGCCCCCCCCCCCGGAATAACAGTGTGGACCTTAATATGTATGTGTGTACTACACTATGTGTATTTGATTCTAACTCCAGTAACACATATGTTAAGGATACAAGAACAGTTTTTTTTTTCGATTTCCTAAAAATTTACTTTGCAGAACACGCATGCAACGAGTATCGATGAGCACACATGGCGAATCACTTGGCGGAGTCATGATGAAATAAAGTCCTTACACAACTGGACTCTGGTGGAGTTGCCATATTATTAAACAAAACAAGCTATGTTAACATCCTACAGGTCTATCATGTTATACCCGGTCGCGCATTACATATCAAAGCCAGTACTAACAACAACAACTACTACAATTTTATTACTTTCTATGCGTATTTTATTCCAAATGAACAAAGAGAAAACGTCAAAGTGTTGCAACATTTCCTAAAAACGTTAGATGCATTTGAACCAATTATTCTTGGAGGTGACTTCAATTACACTGAATGCGTTAAATGACAGACGTAGTCACACAACGCCTGATATTCTCAGCTCAAATTTGCCTTCCGCGATCGTCAAACCACAAAACACCTGTGACGTCTCCATGCTCCATTCAGCCAGTAAAATTGGAATAACGTTTTAACAAAAAATGACAACAAACTGCAGTACTGTGGTTAATTTACGAAAACACCTTCTTACCGTGGTTGGGTACTGGTCATTAACCAGCTTTGTGCACCCAAATTATGCCATCGTCTCATTTCTTTGTCGCCCGATCGAATCACTGCAAATAACATTCAACGACTTTATGTGTTTCGACCAACTACAGATAGAGAAACGTGTGTCGATGAAACCCAATCCCAGTCTGACAATGAATGCTAAAAATGGGGAATATGGATTTTTTTAGTTTTAAGGAGTAAGTTATTATCACGGTTGTTTTGTATTTTCTATTTGTGATGTTTGAGCTATATGTTGTTACCATAAGAGGGTATTTAGCAAAATAAGACACATTCGCGAAGAACGGTAAAACAAAGAATTTGCCAGTGGAGGATATGCACGCCTGTTAGGAGTTCAAAAGACCCTTACGTTCAAAAGTCTCCCCTGTATATTTTTTATATCTTAATTACTCACTAATTTATGACTCTTACATTCATATTTTAGCAGGAAGTTGTTTAACTTTATATTATCAACAGACACTGTTGGCGTTTCCTAATTTTAGCGAGACTATTT